GCCAACAAGTCTTTCTACCAATATGACCATGTTGCGAAAACAAGGTCAAACAACCTCTATACAACGAAAGGAGACTGTGACCACACAAAAGGCCACACCACGGTCTTCATATCTTTGATGGTAAGGATAGTTTAGATATTTTATTGTTATTAATTAACCAGATTGACTGCTCGAAAACAAGGTCAAACAACCTCTATACAACGAAAGGAGACTGTGACCACACAAAAGGCCACACCTCTTTGTCTTCATACCTTGAGCGATCTAGGCCTCAAGCTTCATCGAAATCCTGTTCATTTCTGTATGTATAAGGTTGTTATTCAAGCTTCGAAACATGCTCGAATGAAAAAAAACGTGTAAAGGCCACAGTTTCGTGAGTCAACATGGCGCCTGATATTCTTTCGGCTCTTTCGCCACTTCCACATCAGTCAAGTGACCACCGCCTCTTTGTTTGCAGGCGTTGGATTCGATTTGTCCCATCATTTGTCACCTCCTCCCAGAACCAGTGTGCCAATTAATGCACTTGCAAGCAAGTATATCATTGCCTTTGCTCTTTGTCTCCATCTTGTGAATGGGATTTGCTCATTACTGACCTGGGACCGGTCTATTGGCCTCTGATTGACTGCTCCTGGACGTCGGAAGTCCCTGTTTTGCGGACATGCCCACGTGCGTCGGTCCGCACTGTAGGTTGCGGGTGTGTGCCCACGTGTGATGAGGTGAAAGGCCCCGTTGGGCTTGCTCCATTGCCCATCCTGAGCAGGGCACAATGAGGAGAGCAGTCGAGCCAACAGGCGTGGACACTGGTCGACTTTGTGTACAGTTGTGCCATAGAACGAGACGGTCCTTTGTCAAAGTGGGTCTGAATGGGCGGGGCCAGTGCATACAAAGCAGGAGAGGGAGAGGCCGAGAGAAGGGGAGCCAGAGAGATAGAGAGAGGTATGGGACGAGAGACGCCAGAAGAAGAGCGGGATGGGGGCGTGGGCCATGGAAGGGGCAGAGGGAAATGATTCTGGTAGATGGGACCTCAGCAAGCAGGGTATTGCGTGCTCAAGGTGTCTACTGGCAGACCAGTTGGCACATTCAGGAGCCCCAGATGGGAGAGGACGTTAAAAATCTACCCTCTTTAGTATACGCACACATTCATATTTTATGGGAACACCGATGCATGCACTTACGCACATCAGAAACATCATTCAATATGCAAAAAAATTTAATAGGATCAAGTGGGCTTGAATCACGGGACAGGATGGGATAGCCTCACCATCCCTTCCGGTATGTGAGCATTTATGTACATATTCATATTTATTTATTTATTTATTTATTTGTTTATTTGTGTATTTATTTGTAGTAGTAGGCGTAGATGCAGTCATGTCAAAGAGTGGTGGTACATAAAATGGGAGCCAGATAGAAGGCAGGAGAGAGAATATTTTAGGTCCTGTCACAAAGAGGTCTGAAGTACATTGCCTACCAGAAATGAAGCAGTACACATTCTGTAACTATGATGTATGTGAGTCTATCGATTGGACATATGCCACAGCGACAGGGCACCAAGTCAGGAGGCGTAGCTACGCTCTCAAGGCCGTATTTGGCATGCCGTCCACAGGCTCCCGTTTTGCCTCAATATTGAGGCGACTTCTCTGCATGGGTGAATACTTTGTGTGGCTGTTCCATGAGCGTAGCTGGGAGACTATCCCAAAAGTGAGCTGGCCTCTCCATTTTTGGCCAGTCGAGGAGGTGAATGTTGTCAACCGGCCAGACCATCTGTAAGGCTGTAGTTGGTGGGGCCGGTCTGCTCCATAGTTGGCCAGTATGACTTTCCGCCCACCACCAGCGGGTCGTGGGTTCGGGCCCTGTTCTGGCTTGTCGCGTCCATCGCTGGCCGGACGCCTTGACTCGTGAAGGTAGCCTTGAAGGATTGGGTGATCGTGAGCTGTACCATCGAATTGGCGATCAGGCCAAAGGATATCTGTAAGAGAACTGATGACAATCTCGGAGAAAAATAGAAACAGGGGCAGAGCTGTCGCAGAGAAAACATGTAGGCCAAATACCAGAATCATGATTAGGTATCTGCTATTGCATGGTTGGCTAATTTATTTGTGTATGAAAACAGCTAAACATCGCATCAACCTCCTGTACAAGAATTAACTCACCTCTTCTGCAGGTAACCAAATAAATTATGGGATGTCGCAACTTGGTCTTGTTGTCAGGACGACTTAGTAGAACGCACCTAGTCCGAAGTCGTCTGCCATAGTAGTTGTTATGATTCCCAGCATCAGAAAGTGGACTTGGTACATTCTCAAAACGTTTCGCCGGCATCGTAGTCGGCATCATCAGTGAGTTTTGCCATT